TTCCTGTGCCACAGAAAAAAGGAGCTTATATTTGTAGAAATGTTATTCCAGCCAGAAGGACATATATAACCTTTATGGAATCAGCACCCTGTAGTCCCAAGGGCCAGCGTGATTTCTGCAGGGTGTATTTGTTATTCAGCTGCCATTATTAGTAAGGTTGACACACAGCTGGAGAAAAACCAGCAGAATCTCAGAAGAGGGAGAGGACCTGCTGGTGCCATTGTGTGTCAAGACTGAGAACCAGTTACCCACCCAGGCGAACGGCTCTGGTGGGAAGAAAAAAATTGGCAACTTCTGTCGTCTTTTCTGGCCAGAATTATCTGCCCTGATTTCCATTCTTAGATGCTCCCTTTTTAGTTTTTCCTTTTTTGACAACTGACGACAAGACAGAAATATATAAATACTTCCAGAAGTAGCCAAGCACAGCCTCTTCTTGTGCTGCTATATTAATATTAAAAGACACCTCTGATATACCAGGAAAACAGTACTTCAGAGGGGATCTTTCAGCTGACAGTTTCACAATAGTTCACAAAGACTGTGCAGTGAGAAATGTGTTTCATTAGAAGATAGATGATGAGCTGTACTCTGCGTATAGCCGTCAGATAAATGCAAAGCGCCACTGGCCTGAGTTCCCCTCCAAATGAAACTCATCACTTTTGACCAGTCGCAGCCATGCTTGTTATTATAAACAGAACTGAATGTTATAGAAAATAGAACTAGCATACATTTTTTAGAATGTTATCAACTATTGTTTGTCAGCCGGATTATGCAAATCTACTGGATGGATAAACTCTGTGTGAGGGTGGGGGGTGTGGCCAAAGAAATTCAATTTTGGGGGCAGATCCAGACATTTTTCCAGATCTTTAGGAAAAAATCTGACATCTTTAGAGTGATAATATCTATGAACAGTAAAACTGTGTTGTGAGTCAGCATAGGTATTTTAAGGGAGGTCATTCTTTATTAAATTATTGCACCATAACAATCTACAAATGTTCCTTTAAATTATATAAGAGAATGGATATTTTGCCTGTTTAATTCAACAATTTGCTGAAAGTTTATGTACATATAATGTATGTTTCTGTTGCAATACATGTACAAAGTGGCTAATCAGCCCTGGCAGAGGTGTGTCCCTTTCTAATTCCTTCATTTAAAGGAAAATCTGACCACTGTTCTTTAAGTGTAGATGTATGCTTTTCTAAATTTGGCAAAAATGGATTTGGTGTAACTTACCTTTGCATGTTGCAGAGGAAAACCCTACCACAGTGCTCCCCCCTCAGTCCTGAAGGTTGTCTGACATTCACTGCTTCTTCCTTTTGAATATTTATAACCAATTATTTTCAGTTTCGGGCTGCAGAGACATGGGGGAAAGGAACATAATCACGCCACTTTTATTCTCATAAAGCCATTATGGGACTGAATAACTGAAACCTCACTTTGCCAGCATCCTTCATGTGTTTATGATTTGATTAAAAATTACGTTGGTCAAAAATCAAGGAGTCTTTGCTTTTCATCATCTAATTAGTTGTCACAGCCTTTTCTCAGTGTTTTCTCATGCTTGCTCAGCAGAATATCACACTCAGATGTGACTGACCCAGATGTCAGCTTCAGTGGGATGAGAAAGTGGAAAAGACAGAGGAAAAAAAAAAACTTTCTTTGTGTGTTTCAGCATGACTGATGATGTTTCAGCTTGTGTCTGATCTCTTGGGGAAAAAAACACCAGATCATATATATTTAAGCATTTCAGGAATTTAATAGATGTAGTTGTAAGGAGCAAAGTCTGAGTCATGATGTTCTCAAAGTGTCACACACTGCAGAGATGGAGGTTTCACTGCAGACAGCACCCTCTCCTCCTCTCTCTCTCCTCCCTTCTTCTGGTCCTGTCAGTTTGTCTCAACTCTTATACACTCAACTGGAGCAGTGTGTATTTCCTGCTAAATGTTTGTCATGTGCATTAATAAATATGTGTAACTGGTTTTTTTTTTATCAGAGAAAAACTCTTCTTTTTTCAATAAATCTACATTACCACCTCTACGTGTTTGCAGTAGCAAATGAGAGCAGTTACAGAGTTGGTGGTGCACAGGGAATGTTTGTGCTTGAGGCCTCTAAGCTGCATTCCCAGAGTCCCAGTGTGTACGTCAGGATATAAATAGAGTTGCTCCACCATCAGAAAGCAGTGGTATAGTGTATAGGTGCCAGACGCTGCCTCGGTCCAGTCCAACCCACACCCTGTCCCATGTGACCCCTGAGTCCTTGGACAAGCTGGTGCATGAGGAGTTAAAGTTGCAGCAACAGAGCTGATGTAAAAAACCTGACAGTTTTCTCCTGAGCATTTCTGCAGTGAGTGTTTTGCTTGAAGGAGTGTTTGCACTGTGTACAACAAACTGTAAAACAAAACTCCTGTATTATTTATTTTTACCCCTAATGCAATGCCAATTCCTTAAAAAGAACAGATTCGGATTCAGTGTTCTGAGGCGTTTCTTGATTTCAGCTGCACCACAGAGCTAAGAATCATCCGGTTTTCAGGATTAAAGCACAAGGCTGTGCTCCTTTTATCTTCACAGCTCAGGCCCAGGTAGTTTCCTGCATGTACATGAATGATGCAAGAAGATCAAATAGCAATATTAATGACAAGAAGTGGTTAGTGTGTGTAGAGCGGGGTCTGCAGGGGATACAGTCCTGTTCTGCCCTGATACACTCCTGACTGACAGCCTGCTCATGTCTACTGACAATTGTACTGTTTGTGCGTGGGTACAAATTAAAAGCAAATAAAGGAGACAAACTGCAGGGGCATTGGAGGATGTGATGGCCTGAAGGGAAGGTGTGCTTCAGCTGGGAATGTGCCATGTTTGAGTCTCTCCGGATCAGCAGATGCAAACTCATTGTGCTGAAACAACAGACTTCGCATGACTTTTGATTTGCAGCTTTTTATTCGATGCTGGTGTTCTTTTTACATAAAACATGAGAATAGTTTTGATGTATTTAATATTTATTTATATTTATATAAAGAAAAGTGCAGTTCTCTGGTGATCACTGCCCATTGTCCACACAAATGGTGCCTGCTTAAATATACCATGAGCAGGACACACCTGATTTTATAAAGAAATGTGTTGTCATGGCATTCTGGCCTTGTGGATCGGACAAATTGGATGTGAGCCTAAAGTGGCCCACATGTAAAATAGCTAATGTGGGACAAAATTACCCAAAATAAATGTGGCCTTTTTTGGCAAACATTGCAATGGCAGGAGCAGAACGCCCAAGTGACATCAAACAATGTGGTACGTGGGCCGGATGTAAGTCTGGCAGTTTGAGGGGTTCTAAACTTTTACCAAAAAAAACAGCAAAGGACAAAGGTTCCTAACTTAGATTTGGACTAGAATAAAAATTACACAAAAACATATAAAAATAAATAACTGAGGAATGAAGCAAATACGACAAATCATGGAGCAGTGACATCATAACTGAAAACATAAGCAATTTTGTTTAAGACAGAAAAAAGATATTTAAAGGAGGCCAAACAATTACCTGTGACAATAAAGAGACTCTGATCAAAGTTAATTAGGCAATAAACCATAAGGAAAGTTAAAAATCCAAGCACTTGAATCTGCAGTCTGTTATAAAACAGAAAACTTCGTATAGGGCACGGTCTGAGTACAGTGCGATCTGTTTCAACCACAATATGCAAATGAAGATCCGGCTGCCATTAAGTGCTGATTCTTAATACAATTATATTTGTACAATATGAAACCAGCAGACATTCTCAACAGTTATTACCAATTACTGCGCCTGCAGATACTCGTGTTCTCTCAACATGCACCCAATAAATACTTCTGCCAGGAGCTGCTTCTCTCCCCCCCCCTCCTCATCGTTATTCAGGCAGTTTAACTTGACAACATGGACGTCGGCTCTGCAGTGAGGTGTCTGCACATCAGAGGTATAATTATGTTTCTGTTTAATAAGAAATACAGCTGCTGAATATAAATAAAAGAATTGCTCAGGATTTTCTTTTTGTTCTTTTGAATTTGTTAGGCCGGAGCAAGCAGACTAAACATACCCAGATACATTTTCTTTTTCCTTTACCTATAAATAAACAATATACTCTATGCTACAGGGATTAAGGCTGCAGAAAGATATCAAATAAACACTGACTGCTCAGGAAGCAAAGCAATTATATGTAGAGGGGATCATCCTTCTTGCTTATTGCTGTTTCTTTGTACGATATTGTAAAGCCACAACAAGAGCTCTACAGCATATACCCTGGATTTTCAATTTCAATCTCATGTTCTTTGCATGTTGGAATAAAACACATGAAATACACAAGTAGCATTGTCCGGTCTTTTATGAAGTGCCACATGAGTCTGATGTGCAAATCAATGCCATTCTGAGATAAGAAAAGTATCAGCCTCTTGTTCACCAACTACAATTACTGCTCCTCTGTGAAGGAGACAAAGATGTGCTTAACATCCACCTCCAGCTCATATTCAAGGACTGGATGAATGAGTAAAATTGTGTATTCAAGGACCAACAATTTGATTCTTTCGTTTTCTTTTTTAAAGCTACATAATATCCCACATAATCACATTCATTGCCATTAATTCTGCTCTTCTTTCTAATTCACTTAAGTGGTTTCTGTTTGCACAAAAGCCAGAGGACTATCCACAACTCTCACCCTCATCTGTATTTATTCAAATTACACTCTTATCGTGAATATGTTAATGGTTCAGAAGAGACTGAGACTCCACTATATGGAGGCAGTACACTGTTTCTAAGTGAGCTACACCCTGCAAGTACTTTATATTTTTAATACTTTACATATATTTAAAAGCAAGTACTTACTAACCTTTAGTCAAGTAGAAAAGTTAATGTTTTACTTGAATACATATTTGTCTATTAGAATGTACTTTTACTTCAGTAAAATGTTTGAGTACTACCAGTAATGTTTTTTGGTACTGAGCTTATGCACTGTAGTAGCTCTGGATGAGATAATAACAAGTCAAATGAAGTAGTAATAAACCGACACTTTATTTAAGACACACTGATATTTTACAGTTGATGAATTCACCTCTTACGCAGAAAGGAATTTTACAGATATCTTCGGAGCATTCCTGTAAAATATCTGTACCGTGACACTAAACTATCCCAGATAACACGTCGGTTTTGTCAGCACAAATACATAATGTCAGTATCCTTCCAAATGTTATCCTGGACACAATGATCACTCCCTAAAAAGAACTACGTTACCTGACAGCTCTCAAAGTCGAAGACGACAAACTGCCAAACACAGTGACAGAAGCTGAAGCATCGACATCTACAATATATCTACAGAAACATCGTACAGTGAGAGAAGCCCCGACTTTTTTCAAGTTTTTCCTTATTCTCAGGAGACAATATGAACAGCATCACTGCTTCACAGTTTACAAGGCCCAGACTGGTGACGAAAGACAAAAATAAACTATCCCACTTTTCTATAAAATACAATACTACAGATGAGTGACACAGTCAAAAGCTCATTTTGCAAGTGCTCATGACACCTTGCTGCAGCTCACCTGTACACACACTGTTTCATATATAAACACGTTATAACTAAACAGGAGCCAGTGGAGCAGCAAGAGGTAATGCTGCACTCTGGTCAGGCCTCGAATCTCCATGTAGCAAAAAACGGCATAAAAAGACATTACATTCAAGACTTTTATAAAACACTGCGATTGTGTGTTGATGTAGCAATGACAGAGATGAGGTCAGGAAATCAGCGACAAACAGAAACATTGTTAAAACAGATAACAATTGCATGTCAAGGATGGATAATATAATTCAATATGTACCTCCTGCTAAACATACTTTTAAAAAAGACAGAGGAGTTCAATGTCAGTGTCGTACAAACAAGTGCAACTTCATATCCATCAATTATGGAATGTCATCCTTGGGCGATGATAAAAATGGACGTGATAGATAATCAGAATTAGAATGTTACTCCTGCTGCTTAGATTTAGAGTTACAAGTTTCCCTAATGCGCTGATTTTTAGTACATAATTACTTTCATAGATCGTTAACAAAGTTTAGTAAAACTTCTTCGTCCCATTTATTAAAATATACATTTGGAAATTTAAATAATGTAAATACAGTAAAAGAGTTTCTGTTCAGCTCTTTCAAAGAAAAGAGCAATCACCAAGCCTTTTACAGATCATCCACAACAGAGGTAAAATCATCTTTTCCATTAAAAATATCTCTTTGGAACCTTTTCCTTTTTAGAGAAATCCCAGTAAAACTGTATATTTTTGCTCCTTTACCGCTGCTTAGTTCCAGTGCATGTGCAAACTGAGCACTGTTTATTGACAGTAAAATACAATGGGCCAGACAGCGCTCTGTGGTTCCCTTTTTAAGCTGGACTACGACTTCCCTTCCCTTTGAGTTTCCACACAGTCCAGCACACATTAAACCTTTCAGACAAATCAATAAATTATAGTGCTTATCGCCACACTTTGAAATAGCACTGCAACGTGATGAGACAACACACACATAGCTGCAGACAAATATTTGCCCCCTCACAATGAAATGTGACGATGTGGAGTGCAACAGTTAACACGTCTTTAAAGATGAGCCAAAGAAAACAAAAATCACTGCGAAGCTACGCTCTGTTCTGTCAGAGGCTTTTGTTCAGGATCGACTGCCGCCTCTCGTTCAGTCAACAATGTGACCCACATTATGCAATGGAGGATCGGGCCCCTGACACTTTCAAAAAATTCTTTGAAAAATCAATAAGAGCCAAATGAAAAGAAAACAATCGGAGCATTTCAGAGATCCTCCAACAACAAACTCAGACAGAAAACACAACCTGGTACGTTCAAGGCTTTCCTGTCAAAGTTTCCCCATAAGAATGTAAAAATCTCAAATGTCAGTTAATTAATCGACTGGTTTTGTGTTGTGTTTGCACTTTGGCTCATCTTTAGGTGTATTCATTCAAGATGACATAGTCTTCACATCATTAACCTGATAATGTACGTACCTGTTAAGTCTCTATTTATAACACACATACATTTATTTACTAATTTCGTGATGGACTACAGATAGTTGTCCTATCTTTCATCTAGATTTAAGAGACCAATTACTTTCTAAAGTGTTGCTAAATATGCAATAAATAATACAGCTCATCAAAGAGCTTGAGTCATGCATACAGCAGAAGGCGAGTCATTTATTGTTTGTCTTGAGTGGATCTGTTAAATATTAAATTTCCCTCTAATTAATGCACATAATTTCGGTATCTGCTGCATAGCACTATTCTGTCAGTATGGTGGTTTGGTAAAAGAGATTGTTTCCTTAATCTGAATCATCATGAACTAGTTTCACGACTAAAATGTGCTGGGCTGAGCTTTGCTGAATGTCTACAGCTGAGTCCTATGATCTACTCATTCTATCTAGTTTTGCGAGCATCTCTCCCGACGTTTATATTCTAATACTTCCATGGATGTTTGCTCCGTCTTTGTTTACTGAATCATGGGATCGTCGTTGGGAGAGACCAAAGTGGGGACGCTCGCAAACGGATGGGTTTTGTCTTCGAGGTGGGACGCGGCTCTGTCGGACACTGTGGTGAAGGACAGGTGGTCGTGCTCCAAAATCACGAGGCGGTCCTGCGGCTTCTCTTTCTTCAGGTAGAACATCTTCCTCAGCTGCTTCAGCTGCTGCAGCTCGCAGAAGGTCTCCAGCACCACTAGCATGACGATCAGACCCAGGATCAGGTAGACTGACGAGACGAAATGCACAGGGAAGGAGAGAGATACCACAAGAGATGATTAGCTGCAGAGAATGGTATTATTAACAGCTTTCCATAACTCTGACAAGATATCCCATTAACAAACATGGGAATTAACACAATCGAATCTTTTATTGTATTACTGAAGTCAGTCATTCTATTAGGAAAAACCCAAGAATTGCAGATGCAAAATCTGTTGTTTGTGTGCAATGACACAAGAGGGCAGTGGCTAGCTAACCATCTTAACATGAACAGTGTGTGTGCTTGATCGAATGGAACAAGGAATCCCTTATTCCTAATATAGTCTGCAAGTTGCATGTTTTAATGAGTATTTGCGAAAAGGCAGAATGTGTTTAAAGAGATTAGGGAGCACATCACATAAGCAATGAGTGCTTATTACCTAAATCCACACTTCAGCACATGGCACAAACTCTTCAATATCAGCTCTTTAGTTGTTACATAATGTAACAGTGGTGCCACTTCCGGTATGAACATGCAGTTTTTCTTTAAGAGAAGCTTGTGCAAAAGTGTCTGGTGTCATTGTGTACAAAAGACATTCTGTCACAGCCGCCTCTCCCTCCACAGGCTGACACATTGTGCCACATGAATGACGTCTCTGTAACTGGTGCGGACCAGACGCCCACATGCAGGTGACAGTTTGCTGGCGTAATTCTCCATGTTCGTCCACTTTGCCAACACTCTGTGGGTTCTTTTTTATTCTAGTCACCATTAGGCCTGCTGCTGACAGGGACTGTGCACGTCACCCAGAAAACAGACTAATCGATGTCTGGCTGCTGCGCTTTAGGCCATGGCCCAATTTGTATCTTGCACTGTGCAGATACTGCTGTTTTATCTTACTGGGTAATATGGCTTTAAAAACATGCAGGATGATGTTGGACTGTGGCTTTGTCAGCAGAAAACAACTGATTAACATCCAAAGGGTAGACAAATCCCAGCTCGAGCAACTTAAGCCTTTCAATAGGTTTTTGATTATTTATAATGCATTGATCAGTTTAAAGGAGCGGTGGTGAATTTCTAGTTATTGTGTCCAATAGGATTGAAGTTTTGTAATATCAGCCTATAGAAAATCTGATTTTTAAAACCGGATACCGATCTTTCAGGGCATAATTTATGAAACTATAACTCATCTCTTATTGCTTCTCTAACACCGAAATGTTTTGTGTAAAGTCAAGCTGAGATAAAGTTCCTATATGAACATGTATATTACAAGCTAGATATGAAACAGTCTACCTGTAAATCAGGGTTAAATCTTATCCATCAGGTTGACGCCTAAAGGAGATCAGGCCTTTGCAGTAGTTGACCTTTAAATGTGGAGGAGTCTGCCCTTCCACATGAAGACCTCACTAACTCTGAGTCTATTTAAACTCACCAGAAAACGCCACTTCTTAATCTCTGGCCTTTAAAACAGGTTGAGACTTTTATTTATGTGGTTTTACTTTTTTTTTATTCGATGTCTGATTGTTGTCGTCTTGGCTGTTAACAAACACGCATTACAAATAAATTGACTCGATTTGACTTGATCAGTGTGAGTAATAATAAAATTAAATCTGTTTGCTCGCTATATTGCATGTGGTATATCATATCATTTAACTCGAGCTGTCAGTGAACAGGTTAAATAACACACCCAGCTGCTTACGTCACAACGAACTAGTTCAAAGTTCATCGTCATAAGCCTGATATACTTAGCATCCTCGCATTAGCAAATCATTACGACATTAACGCCTGAGAAACTGGCACTTTATTTGAGAGACATTCGACGTTAGACAGCTTGGCCCAAATTGAGTAGAATTTATAGGGTTTCATTGCTGCATTGATTTAAAGCTCAATAAGGAAGAGAGTGCTGTTCCACCACAGCAAATAAATGAAGCAGTTACATCCTCTGTGAAAGAGGAAGTATCAGACTTTATGTGAAATGTGACACTGATTTGAAACACAGGCAATAACAATATCAGCGCTGAGTGTCTGCTTCTAATCCATCGTCCAAATGATCCATTTGTGTCGTACAAAAAAAATAAACCTTACAGCTAAGGCCGCCTTGCTGTGGAAACACAAACACAAAGACTCATCAGGACTTACCAGTGATGCCCACTTTATAGAGCTCCCTGAACCTCTGATTAGCGGCCTCTCCAGGTACGTAGTCACCCAGGCCGATGGTGCTCAGCGAAATGAAGCAGAAGTAGAAGGACTCCAGGAAGTTCCAGTTCTCCTCCAGCGCCGAAAAAATGGCGGCGGGGATGAGGAAGAAGCACGAGACTGAGAGCGTGGCGAGCAGGGTTGCGTGAACAATGGCCACCAGTGGCTTGGACAGGCCCCAGCGTGTGTGGATGTACGTGATCGGCCTCCGTGTGCTGAACACCATGATCCTTTGCACCACGGCAGTGAGGAAGAGGAGAGTGAAGGGGATGCCGATCATTGAGTAGATGATGCAGAAGGCCTTCCCACCGTCCGACAGAGGCGCTGTGTGACCATATCCTGTACAAAAACAAGAGTCTTATTAGAGATCACTTCATTCATTCAGTGTGCTACATCACATCGCTGCACTTATGTGTACACAGAGATGTTTACAGTTTCAACTATTTAGATTCTTGATGTTCTAAACCATATATACAGTGCATGTATACGTATGAATGATATGTCTATATATACTATAAATATGGACGATGCATCTCCACTTCCTCCAACTAGTCGGTGCAGTATGTGATCGAGGAATGGAGCCTCGGTATCAGGATGCCGCCCTGATAAATGGCATAAAATCCTCTTTGATTAATATGTATTTGACGTCTAGCTTGACTTTTTAGTTTGGTCCATGTCCCATCCACTAACATGGAGGAGGCAGGATTTATGACCTACTGTGCAGCCAGTCAGGTGGCGATTTGCGACATTAAAGCTTCCCTTTTGGGACGCATGTCGTCCTTCTTTAATTGATATGGTATATTTAGCTCTGATCTTACCGACCATTTGAATCATTCCATATTCAGTTTTACAGTTTCCTCGTCTGTAACATTTTTATTCTTAGAGTTGTGCTCTTATCTAGTGCTATATAAATAAAGTTTATTATAATTATTGTTATAATTGTTACTATACATTTGAAGTGATGCCCTGAAACAAATAAAGGAACGGACCTCCATTAAAAAAAAGAGTCAAGGACGATCACAGTCGTGATGTTATGTCATGCTGATGATAAAAGCCTGACATGTTCTCATGATGTGAACCTAACACCAAAGTCAAAAATACCATGGCTGACTGACATACCTGTGAAAATGAGTAAATTGCTGTTGGTTTGCTTGTGATATCTGTCGTCACTATCAGCTTCTACTTCAACTCTTCTAAATATTAATTTATGACAGTAAACTGGTTTCTGATCCTTTTTGCCTCTGGTGAGAATTAGAGGTAAAGCCACCGTGGTGTCTGGTGATGTGTTGTAATAGCTAGAGACAAAAGTATTATTAAATACACAACAATAATGTTTTGAGCGGGGAAAGGAAACAACAATAGACTTTGCTCTATTTTATCTGGATGTCTTTCCAGTTTCTGTTTGTCCACCATCAACAGAATCTTGTTGAGACTTAAACTAGCAGCTTGTCAGACACAGCTTTATGGCTTTGAGGTGTATCTACATAATCACATATGTTGAAACCTCTCAGATAAGTGCTGCCATGTGGTCGGACTAAAGTTCTATCAAGACTAAAGTCACAACCCTTGCAATGCTAGATAACTCTGTGTTGGAGTCAGGCAAAACTGTCTCGAGGCGTACAGACAAAATATGAATTAGAGCTTGTTGGTGGGGTGATAGTGATCTAAGATCACACTGGATATAAGCCTGCTTACCAGCTTCTGTCTAGAACACGAAACCTACTGCAAGAGGCCTGTTTACAGAAATGACTGTGCTGGGGAGCAAAGCCGTGTTTACAGTGCATAACGAGGTAGTAAAACATATTGATTTTTGCTTCTGTGAGCAAATAACTGTAAGACAAAAATGTAAATCCCTCTAAACTTAACATTGATAATAGAGCT